AGTTTTATATAGTTAAAATATATAATTGATTTTAAATTAAAAAAAAAAAAAGCACCCCAATTCGCGTTAAAAAAAAAAAAAAAAAAAAAAAAAAAAAATAGACATCCAAAAATTGCATGTGTGACTAGTTGTATTCTCATTTCTGTAAAAATAGTTGTAATAGCTAACCTAATAAAAGTCAATAAAATACTATCACAAGTATGGTCTTTAACAAAAAAAAAAATTAATATATTTATAATCATTAGTTGTTTTAAATAATAACTTGAAATATACCATTAATATTTAAAAAAAAAAAAAAAAAAAAACTTGAAAAATCTATATAAAATGTAATATTATATGTATTAAAGAAATATTAATTAAAATTATATAAGATTTTAGTACAAATATATAATAAAATCATCAAATATAAAAAGCAAAAAAACTAAAGAGTCAAAAGCTTACTTATAACTCTTAAGTAAAAATATAAACTTTTAACAATACTATTGAACCAATAAAAGCTAATAAAACACTTTTAAAAAAAATAATTAAATAAATCAAATAATAGATATGTAAAAAAAAAATATATATTAACTAAGTTATTAAAATCAATAAAGGAAAAAAATACAAAAGTATATTATATTAGACTATCTAAATTGGTAGTTTAAGAAATCTTATTAGTTTTAAGTAATAGGTAGTAAAGAATAATAAAGAAGATATTATAAAAGATATATATCAAAGTATAAATAAACTTTACAAAGATAAAAACAGTTTAATAATTAATCTTGCCTACAAGTATTAGTTCTAACTATAGTACAACTAAGTAAGCTATAAATCAAAATACAAAAAGCTCTAAGAGTTTATTTTGAAAATAAGATTAAGATAAAAATTTGGGTTTTAGATGATCTAGTAAAGTTAATACAAAGGTTGCAAAATTAGAGAATTTAAAAAAAGCATCTAAACAAAAGTATTAAATATAACAACTAGTAGAAAACTTTCAGACAGGCTCTTTAAATAGATAATATAAAAAGTTATATATATACTAGGTGTATATTTTTTTTATAATAGTTTAATATAAACATGTATTTATATCAACATATGCTTAACAAAATGTTAATAAAATCACAAGATTAAAATAATTATCTTAATATCAAAAAAAAAATTTATAAAATATTAATAAAATAATAAAGATGTAACAATATATTCTGTTAAGTTTTAAAAACAATATTATAGATAATAATTTAAAATTTTATTATAAATATAATTTTAACTTAAATCTATTCTCTCCTACTTCAGCTTTCAAATGATCTATTAAACTGGTTCTATCAAGATCTCTGGTTTACTTACAACATATATCAACACCAATAGGAAATATTATGCAACATTACATCCAAATCTAAACACACTAAAATTTACTTACCAATATCACCAAATTCTTTAAACAATACAACAATCTCTTCTTAAAATATAAATATTAACTCTTTTATCATCAAATGATTTACACAAGACTACTTACTAACCACTTGTATTTAATAATGTTCAGACAATCACTTGAAGTTCTCCTCCAACCTATCCTAGCTAGAACCTAATTTGAAATAGTTAGCAATAGCACTTACAGGAAATAAGGGTGTAATATCATATTAGGTGCCAATTTGTAACACAAATGTAGTTTAGAAATCTTTAATTTTAGAACTTATGATTTTATATGTAAAAAAGTTTCTACTTGAACATTATATAAATAAATAAAAAAAAAAACTTAAATCTATTATTTAAAAAATAACAACTTACTAATTATTTTAAGTTAATTAAAAAAAATATATAAAATAATTTAAAACAATTTTGATATATATTTTTAAACTAATTAGATATAATTATTTAGTATTAAAATTTTTTTAAATTAATATAACAAACTATTTCTAAATACAAAAATAATTAAAAAATATCAAATCTAAAAATATTAAAATCAATTTTGTATAGGGGTGTGGTAAGCTAGTGAAGTAGTCAGGTTGTCAACCCTCCAAGTGGTAGGTTGGGTGTTCAAATCCCATTGACAGTGAAAATTTGGATAATCATCTATGTAATCTGGTATTACAGCAACTGTTTCTAATGATTGGGTTAAGATACTTGTAATTATAGTCACACCAGCATGACTGGCAGGTCATGGGGCATCTGTGTAACTTGTTACACAGAGGAATGCAAACCGACAAATCAGGCAGTGCAAACTCAAGATAAGTTCTTGTGGCTGTGTAAATCTGTAGAAATTGGGAAACAAGAAGCCCATTTGGGAAGACCTGAGTAGAGAGGTAACACGGATCTTTGACAGTACTACTGTAAAGGCTAGATCTAAGAAACGGATACCAATGCTGAAGTAGCCGGATGGGCAAGAACCTCTGGGTTGGAAGTCTCAGAAGTACCACCAATCAGGCTGCCAGATCGGACTGGAAGAAAAGAATATCAGGCTGACCTGATATACTGATGGACTGGTTGTAGTCCTACACAGGCTATCTGGATTGGGAGTTTGGTAAAAGAAGCAGAGGTATACTAAAATACTAGGGATATGCTGTGAAGTAGGTACTGAGGTCTGTGTGAACTCTACAAGAGCATAGCAGTTTAACGGTTAGTTCTGACTGCAAGTGTTAGTTCTGCCATAGCAATATTTGGGTTAGCTGCAAAAATAGGTAAACAGCAGGCTTCGGAAGGTTTACCTTGAGGATAACTGTCCTAAGGTTAAGACGAAGGATCCAGGCTTGACCTAGTAAAGTAACATGGGACAGGTTCAGAGGGTTTAAATAAAACATTTAAGCAGAGGTGTTAGGTACGGCAATTGGTAAAGAACATTAGGTGGACTCCTTAAATAGGTAATATAGAAAGTTACACGAGTGACCAATTGTATGCTCTTTCTGTAGTAGCTCCTTACGGAACTATATTCCTAAAAATATGTTAATAAAGTCGAAAGACCAAAGAGGTCACCTTAATATTGAAAAAAAAAAATCAATTTTGTATAAAAATTATATAATAAATTTAATAAAAAATATTAATATAGTTACTAAAAATTAAAAAAAAATTCTTTTTTTGTAAATTATCAATTAAACTAATTAATTCAAAATTTTTTTTTTTTTTTGTATTATAAGCAGCAATCTTGTCTGTTTGTCTTTTATTGAGTAATATCTAATTATTAATGAATATATAGTTTATCAACAAAAGTATAACTAATCACATGTATAACTTTAGTCATTATCTAATTAAGGGTTCCACTCGAAGCTTACTTACTAGATACCATACCTGAGATCTGCCTGTGAATCCCCTATTTAAACTTTCTGATTTTCAATTCTATGCATTATAACCTTCCATTACTATATAGACATATTAGGTTAGGGCTATCTAATTACTATTTATATCAAGGTACCACCTCATTGGATGTTACCAAGTATCCATAGTCCTTCGAATTTACTTTCGACGCAGACTTACTAAGTATGATACCAAGATTACTCCCCTTAGATTTTATCCGTGTTAGTGTATCCTGTATTCACTAAATCAGTTTTGGTGCCAGAGGTGTTCGAGTTTCAGTAAGTCTATTCCTTTCCCATAGTTTTCTTTTATGTTTACTATATCACTTGCTAGTGCACCTTCTCTCTATTTTTAGTATGTTCACTGCTTCTCTCGCATTGAACACCAACTCTCCATATCAAAAAACTTCTTTCTGAGAACTTCCTTATATACTGATCTTCTATTCACATGGACTTAAGCCACAGGGTTTCATGTGCATTCATATGCTTCCATAGATTACAGAGTTTTGCCTCCAGCTGGAATTAAACTGTTGACCTCGTCTATGAAGAGAGAGGCACCTAAACCACTAGGCTACAGGACCCCATCTTCCAATTAATTCAAAATTTATAATAAGTTTATATTTACTTTAATATAAAAAAAAAAAAAATAAATAAGTTCATATGTTTTTATTATAATTTTTATTATAAACAACATTTTAAATCTTTATAATACTTAATATCAAAAAACAATAAAAAAATCATATAAAAAATTTTCTATATCTCTATATTTAATATATATAATTTTTCTTACTGTTAATATTAAAAAAAAAATATATATATATATAATTTTTATTTATAAACAGGTTTCAAATATGACAGTTAGTATAAAACCTTCAAGTGAATTACTTAATAACTAAAATTGTACAAATGACTAGTTGTACACTCTTTTCATAATTACCCTCTGCGATTGTAATGCAACCATTAGCGAAATGTACTATCAATAAAATCCTGGGTTGCAAGTACTCACCTTAATATTTAATATATATATATATATATAATTTTTATTAATGAATAAATGTTCTTGTAATAACCTCGTATTAAAGTTAGAGGATTTGGTTTACCCGAATTTTAGTTATTTTATTATTGATTGTACTAATTGAGTCGTTACAAGTTCCTAACAGGTCGTTACAATTAGATTCGTCCTTTATTAATATATATTAAATAATAATGTTATAGATAAAATTATAGCTTAACGTTAAAAAACCATGGCTTTAGCTGGCTTAAACCACGGCTTGGTTAGCTTAAGTTATGATTTAGCTTAGCTAATTTAAGCATGGCTATAGTTAAAATTATAATTATTTAACTCGATTATAGCTTATCTATAACTTTAACTATATTTATAATCATAGTTAGATTATGGTTACTATAGCTATGACTTAGACTTTAGTTACAGATCCTTGAGCCAAGTCAGCTATTAAACCAATAGCATCCTTACCTTGTCGAAAAACATTGTATTCTTTCATTTTTATGACTACCTTTTTTTTTTAAATAAAACTTTCTTAGTAAAAAATGTATCATTTATTTTAATTTCTGATTGGCTTGAGCCATGAACGATCCTGGGGCAGTTCAATCTTCTTTGTCTCGCTTTTGATGTTTGTCACCAGAATCTTCCATAAAAGCAGTGATTATAAAAGAAAATACAACCACATTTGCGATTCCAGCAGCAAATAGCGCAGCTTTCGTAGTACCATAATCTCCTAAAAAAAAAAAAAAAAAAGAAAAGGTAAATGTCAAAGAATTAGAACAAAATAAATAAATTAGTTGTTTACCTTCAAAAAAATACTTGGAAGTATAAAAATATGTGGAAATCGGAAGAACCACCATCAATAAAGTATGTAAATAGACCTTAAAAATGACTGATCTATTAAGTAGCAAAGAATTATTTACATGTGTAGACAAACTTCAAGTAAATCTCAAGTTTTATACCTGGGAACTTCAGGATTTTTTGGTTGAACAATTGGAACAGTGGATGAGGACATTTTTTGAATCAAAAAATTTTGTAATTTACGACAATTTATATATTTGGCCATTATGTTGCACAAACCTGTAATATATAGAATCGTGCCTAAAATTACTGCGTAACTAATGCATGCAAGACAATCTATAGTCAGGTGCACGGCACATGTATACGATATTAATTACCAGCCCTTCGTTTAAAATTTCGAACATTAACATAAGAACAATAAAACAATGCGTAGAGGTCTTGGAGTTACGGGTTTAAAAAGGAAAATTGCGGCCAATGTAAGGTGTTTCATTTAAATAATTTAGAATAGTCGAATCATATTGATTTTTCGTTATTTGTGTAGGATCAATTTCGTGAGTTTGGAAACAATAAGGCGGAAATAGAAATGCAGCAGGTAAAAGATAAGCTCTAAAGTAATAAATCCAATAGTACACACATATAACTTATTCTACTAAATTAATAGCTAAAGGAACAACTCCAAGTTTTCAAAACAAATCTCGAAGAGTTTGCTCGCAAATATCGCAAGGACATCCGTAAGAATCCTATGTTTCGGGCACATTTTCAGAAAATGTGCAGTAATATCGGGGTTGATCCACTTGCATGTAATATTTTCGACCTATTCTTCATTTTTCATGTGTGAATTAATATTAACATATTATAAATTTACGTATGAATGAAGCAAATAAAGGATTTTGGGCAGAATTTTTAGGTGTAGGCGACTTTTACTATGAAATTGGTGTACAAATTATTGAAATCTGTTTATCTACTCGAGGTAGAAATGGGGGATTGATTGAGTTAGATGAATTGAAACGGCAGTTGGTAAAAATGCGCGGAGGTAATAGCAGTAGTGGAATTAGTGGATCTAATTCGTCACAAGAGATCAGTGAGTGAGTCTAGTGTTTAGATGGTCCTTTTTTTCATAAAAATTATCATTCTCATTTAGCGTTAAACATATATTGTGTTTAGTGACGATATCATACGTTCTATTAAGACCCTCAAACCATTAGGTAATGGATTTGAAATATTACAAATTGGTGATAGAAAAATGGTAAGATCAGTCCCACGGGAATTAAACATAGATCAGTCTGAAATATTGGCTTTGGCGCAGGTATTATTATTGTGAAAACATTTAGAAAGGTCGTATATTCTTGCAATATTCACAATTGTCGTTTTATAGGCGAAAGGTTATGTCACTAAAGATATAATAGAATCAGAATTGGGATGGGGAACAGAACGCATAAATGATGTTATAGTAAGTATTGTATTTCCGAGTTTATTTTTCCTCATTCGCATTACTATTTCGGTTAAAAAATCCTATTTCAATAGGATACATTACTTTCGGATGGGCTTTGTTGGATAGATGAACAAGTATATCCCAATGAATATTGGGTACCTAGTTTTTTTAAAGGTGTAGATGATTGAAAGTGCACATGTTAATTAATAGTTAATATCAAATATTTATCGGCGATACGTAACATCTTTGTATCCTATATTTGTGAATTAGTTTCGCGGCATAGTAGTCAGTCAAATTAGTTAACCATAATTTTTAATAAATTTACATTCGGCCAGATTTAGTAAGCCAGATAAGTGTTCCCTGCATGTCTAAAAGATCAATTTTATCTTGATAAAATTACATTGGTGTTCCCGACAGTGTTGTGCGTGACACAACCAATCTCCAAGATATATGTTTGTTGATCCATTAATGTTTATAAATTGTCAAATTTTAATCGCCGTTTCTTGATCTTTACACTTTCTAATTTCCATATACTAGCCTTTTTTTTTCTTTATTTTTACTTTTATTTTTATTTTTTTTTGTTAATATAGTACTATGGTATGTTTAGTGAATGACCTGTTCGTATTATGAACTTCTTAGTTTTGTTTAACACCAATTTCAACCTTGTGATTGGGTATTAAACTTTCTTATTTTTGGCTTGCAGGATGAACAATACGATGTTATCGTTCTCGGAACTGGCTTAACTGAATGTATTCTCTCTGGTTTACTATCTGTTGAAGGAAAAAAGGTCCTTCATATGGATAGGAACGACTATTATGGTGGTGACAGTGCCAGTTTAAACTTGACACAGGTAAAGATTAACAATAAAGTTTTCAACTCACATGACATCTGTTTGATAAATTTTATCGAGAAATATTCAGAAACTTTACGATTGACCTTATTACCATTAAAATGTAGTGATGATAATATATATAGTATATTTACAATGACAATTTTTTACCATAGTTTATGTCAAATCTTTATTGATATACACGTTAAAAGGAATTGGCGTTTTTTTTTTTTAAATGTTATTTTTTGACGATTAAACTTCAGTTTCGCCCCCATTTAATCCGTTTTTATATAGCTTTATCGAAAATTCCGTAATGGGCAAGAGCCACCTAGTGAATTAGGACGTGATCGCGATTATAATATCGATCTCATTCCTAAATTTATGATGGCCAATGGAGAACTTGTCAGAATTCTTACCCATACCGATGTTACACGTTACCTCGAGTTCAAACAAATTTCTGGCTCTTATGTATATCGTGATGGACAAATCTCTAAAGTTCCTGCTAGTGAAGTGGAAGCTCTTCGCAGTGATTTGATGGGAATGTTTGAAAAGAGAAGAGCAAAGAAATTCTTCGAGTATATGCAAAACTGGCGGGAGGATGATCCATCTACTCACCAAAGTAATAATTACTTTTTATAAATCATATCGTCAACTATCGATATTTATGAAATATGAACTAATATAATTTATATTTTCTTAAAGGCATCGATCTAAATTCTGTACCAATGTGTAAAGTCTATGAAAAATTTGGTCTTGAACCTGGAACTCAAGATTTTATTGGCCATGCTATGGCCTTATACTTAGATGACTCGTATGTGAAATTTGAGATTCTTCTATTTCCATCACCTTATTACTTAATATTAACCATATTTACACGTTTAGCTACCTTAACCGACCTGCCCGGGAGAGTTATGACAGAATCATTCTTTATATTTCCTCTGTGGCTCGTTATGGAAAGAGCCCTTACATTTACCCATTGTACGGTTTGGGTGAATTGCCTCAAGGATTTGCACGGTACGATTTTCTTTATATATCTCTGATTATAAATTATAAATTTTTATCTGACTATACCTTTTATTCACTCTTGTTTTCACAGGCTGAGTGCTATTTATGGTGGTACTTATATGCTCGATAAAGCGGTCGATGAAATCGTCTATGATGCGGATGGCCGTGTTTGTGGTGTACGTTCGGGTGACGAGGTAATCATGCTTAAGTGAATTTGTGATTGCGTACTTTAATAGCCCATTTGTAATCTTACATCCTAAAATTTGGTACTTTAATTATAGGTTGCTAGGACAAAACAAGTTATTGGTGATCCATCCTATTTTAAAGATAAAGTCCGTAATGTCGGAAAAGTCATCCGTGCTATCTGCGTCCTAAAACACCCTATACCTAACACTGATAACGTAGACTCTATTCAATTAGTGATTCCACAAAACCAAATCAAAAGACAACATGGTCAGCTAAATTTATTCATAAATTATAAACCTTATTATTTTTGTTTCTCTAACCATATACTTATACTTAACATTTTTTATAAATTATAGATATTTATATTGCTAGTGTATCTGATACTCATTGTATTTGTGCTAGAGACTACTACCTTGCTATCGTATCCACCATCGTTGAAACAGATGACCCAGAGTCTGAAATTAAACCTGGTCTTGACTTGCTTGGTCCGATTGTTGAGAAGTAATATTTGCAATTTATTCTATTATACCATAGTTGTGTCATATGAATTATTTAATAATACTTCGGCTATATATGAAATATACAATAACAGATTTATAAGTTTGTGTGATCTCGAGGAACCTATCGAAGATGGGTGTAAGGATCAAGTTTTCATCTCTCGTTCCTATGACGCCACATCTCATTTTGGTACCGTGTGCGATGATGTCAAAAGCATTTACCGAAGGGTAACCGGTAAAGATCTTGTCCTAAAACAGAGACAAAGACAAGAAGAAGAATGCTAATTTATGAAAGTAGCGAGTTAAACTTGTGGAAATTTTGATTTATTATATTTTTTTAAATCACCGTAAAGTAACATTATAGTTGGATGTACATTTTCTGTTAAAAATTTACTACATAAAATTTATCAAATATTAAATTTTAATGGTATAAATTAAACAATGTCAACAAATATGGCATATAATTAAGTTTTTTTTTTTGCAATTTAGTAACCGCTAGTCCAAACCCAGTGTTGGCATTTGACATGATGTGACATATGAGTGCTGTCAAGGTAAACCTGTCATTGGGCTTTTAATTATATACTGATTGCATCCAGTACAAGATAAAATTGAAAGCCTGATGACAGGTTTTTCCCCATAAAATCGTGCTTACTGGAAATTGGACATGAAACTTTATAGATTCAAAGGCTAAACTGTTAAAACTGTATTTGCAAATGGTTTTTTCGGTCATTTCTCTTTTTTTGAGTCAACTATAAAGTTCCGCTTATTCACAAAGCGCAAGTTTTTTTGATAGTTTTGTTTTAAATGTTGACACGCTGGTAAGGAAAATTTAGTCCATCCCATACCAAACCGCGTAGGCGATTTAAAGCATAGTCACTAAACTCCAGCTGGTGTGCCAAAAGGTTATTCAAGAAGACTGTGTAGAAGTGAACAAAATCAATTATAATTTGTTCACTTACAATAATCAGTCTTCATAGAGTACAAAAAAAAAAAAACTAACCAATGTTGCTGAGCTTTATACGACTTTCACAAATTTTATCACGTGAATATAATTAACTGACCAATCAAACCACAATATTAAAAATAACAGAAATTGATTTATTTATTGATTATACGTAGTACATAATCGTAAGAGCACAAAGTGATTCTTTGCTAAGATTTTGTCTATCATCAGCTAAAATTTTATTATATGCAAAGAAACTTCGTTTTACACTACAAGAAGCCAAATATAATCTAATGCAATTTTACTTAATAAAAGTAATTTA